GAACCCGTGTCCCCTGCATTGGCAGGCTTCTTAACCACTGCTCCACCAGGGAAGTCCCGTTGATTGGTTTAGAATAGAACATTCTTGAATTTTCTGAGTCAGAGCTGAAGATTACTGATTAGTTCACTCAACTCTTTGCAGACTAGCATCTTAAATCCCGGGATATGTACAAGTGTCAAAGGATTAGTGAGTTGAAATGGTTAAGTGGCAGCATAAAGCAGAACATTAAGTGCCAAAATAAAAACTCTGAATAAAAAGTGTTGGATACTGTGTGTATGTGTTTTTGCTTATATGTGTACTTCTTTAACAACATATCCTGAGTGCTTACCATGTGTGAATCACTTTACGTGTATTATTTCATTTAATTCCTAGAACAATCATGTGAAGTATAATAACTGTCATCCCCAGTTTGCAGAGGAAGAATCTGCAGTACAGAGCAGTGCAGTAATAGAGTTCATAAGTGGTCTAGCTAGGATACAGATCTGGGCTATCTGAGGCCAGAGCTTGAGTGTAACCACTGTACTATACTATAGAAACCATGGGAGAGAACCCAGGAGGGGGAGGCCCAGAAGCACTTTTGGGGACGGCCCCATGTCTCTTGTCATTATATCTCTCTATGCTTGTGGGTCATCAGTTGGAGGGAATCCTGGTAGTGGGGGGAGTGTTTGGGAAGAGGCTCCGCTCCAGAGAGGAACTGATCAATAGAAGCGGGAAGAGTGAGAGCATTGCAGGGCAGCCTGGCCCAGTCCTCCCCCACTCTGGCTTTCGCTTCCAACCGCAGTGAGCCAGCAAAACAGAGGCAGACTGGAAGATGCCTGGTGCCTCACTCGCAAAGCTGGGAAAGAAAGGCAGGGGTTGGCCGGCGTGCCAGAGAATGGTGACAAGCGGATCGTGAAACAGAGGGCAGGGGCTAACGATGGAGGGTTGGTGTTGGGGGTTTCAGTGGTGAGTCTGTACTGTTAAGATCAGGATGACTCATGGAGAGTGCCAGGCTCATCCTGTATTACCCTCACCCCATTGGTACAACTGCCTGACATTTTCACAACGGTATAGAGGCTGCCAGGACTCTGTGGACAACAGCCCCGCCCTCCTCTCCCACACACTGGCTGTTCCTTTGCCCTAGAGCTGGGCAGAGGACATGGGTGCCTGTATCTGGGGACTCCAGTTGATCTCTCCAGGGTCATCCTCCACCTACTGTTTTTCTGGGCCCTTGTTGCTCACTGTCTAACCTCAGTGTCTACTGTGGTCGAAACTCAGCTCCACCTGCCTTTGGTAGAGGTGGACACTGGCTGCATGAATATCTGGAGAATGACTCTTGAAATTTGAAATCTCTTTCTGCCCACCTCTGCTTACAATTTCCCACTCAGATTATTTTTCTCTTAGAATAAATGAATGCAACTCTATACTCTTTTCGTCCACTCATTTCCCTGTTCTTTTGAGGTGTCTTTCAGATAGCTTTAATTAGCAAGCTCCAAGCTGACTAGCCGGGCCAAGCCTTAGGGCCAGATGCTGCTGAGCTGTTAGGAGTTGGGTGAGGACTGAGGGAGGACATGGTGTGAGTGCAGAAGGCTTCTCATACTGGGAAATCTGGCTGGGCTTCAAGAGGGGGCCGTTGGTGGTGTGGCCAAGTTCCAAATGTTGGCCTGAAGCCCGTGCTCAAAGAAAAGGGGCCCTCAAGACAGTCTAAATGGCTCACTGTGGGAAGTGACCTCACAGTCCTTCTCCCCAAGACGCAAGGGGTTTCCCTGGGATCCTCAAAGACCAGAGCGGTCAAGTCGTTTCCCCGCTGACTGTCCTCAATCACGTTTATATTCTTTCTCTCCCAGTCGCTCCCATAGTTTGAACTTTGGTTCCAGCCAGAATTCAGAGGCTAGCAGAAGGATTCCAGTGCTGGAGAGGTGGGTGGGGTGAGAAAGTCCTCATGTATGTTGGGGAGGAAGAGGCTGACCCTGGGACATATGCTCCAAGGCTCTGCTGCCAGATGAGGTATAGGGAGAAGTTAACCCTGCAGTGTGTGTCCTGGAAGTGTCTGCTCCTAAGCTAGAGACAGCAGCTGGGAAATGTGTGATCTGGGGGAGGTGAAAAACAGGGATCCCTGTCAGAGGGGAAGAGGGCTGTTAGAGGGGGAGGGGCTGCCAGACAAGGGCCAAAGTCTTTGCTGGGTCTGGAATCCATCAATGTTTAAAATGTTTTGAAATTATTTTGAAATAGTTGTAGACTCAGAGGAAGCTGCAAAAAAAAATAGTGTGTGAAATCCTGTGTACCCCTTCACCCAGCTTCCCCCAGAGGCGGCATCTTATATAACTGTAGCACAGTAGCAAAACCAGGACGCTGACATAGGTACAATACTGTTAACTAGCCTACAAGCCTTATTCAAGTTTCCCCAGTTTTTTTTTTTAACATGCATTCATTTGTGTATGTGCATAGTTCTATGCAATCTTATCCCACGGATAGGTTTGATAACCACCACCAAAATCAAGAGACAGAGCTCTTCATCCCCAGGAAGGAACTCCCTATGCTATCCTTTTATATTCACACCTCCACCTCCCCCATCCCTGTACCCCGGCAATCACCAATCTGTTCTTCATCTCCACAGTTTTGTTATATTAGTGGAAACACGTAGTATCAGCATTGGTGTTTGTTTTTTTTCTTTTGCCGTGCCGCAGGGCTTGTGGGATCTTAGCTTCCCGACCAGGGATCAAACCCGCGCCCACCGCAGTAAAAGTGCGCGGGGTTCTAACCACTGGACCACCAGGGAATTCCCAGCATTGGTTTTAGTTTAATGAATTCCTGAACTTTGAACTCAAATACAAAAGTTCTCTGGCAGGTTGTTTATTCGAATATTAAGCTTGTTCCATTCTCTGGATTCCTCCGGCTTCTTCATTCCCCCTTAACCTGAAATACTGCTCCCCACTCCAACAATCTGGTTTCATTTCTCCTTTAGGGAAAATCTACACATCTACATTTACTAGGCTGGTCTGGGGCCGGTCTGGGAAAGGGAACCGCCCTCCCTTTCTCGGCTATTTATAGCCAGGCTAATTTTGGGTGGCCTGTCTCTCTCTCTTCTTTCCTGCTCCTGCCTCCTGTGGCGGGTGAGGTGACTTCTCAAATATTTGGGCAGAGGAGGTCAGAAGCAGATTCTTGGCGTCTGATTTCAGTCTCGGATTTAGCAGGAGCCAGTGGAATAGAGATGCAGGGAGGCAAGGATTGCAGGTGCAGAGAGAGAGGCAGCTGGGGCTCTGAAGGCATTTTGACCCCGGTCGGATGTTTGGGCTGAGAGTCAGGAGTCTGGGTTCTATCCTGATTTTACTCCTCTGCAGTCTCCTAGCAGCTCTTCTCCATTGTCTGGGCTCTGAGATAGAAAAGGAATGGAGAGCGCATACCTGGGGGATGATAAAAGTAGGATCTAGGGGCCAGCCTGCTGAATTACCTGGACAGCACCTGTTTAGAGGTGTGCTGGTCCCCTGGAGGGGATGGCCACAAGTGTAGTGTTGCAGAAATGGAGGCCCAAACTTTCAAACGTGTAGAAACTTACACAGGGCAAGGATTGTCCCACTGGGCAGCAGAGTGAGAGCCTATTTAAAAAATTAAAAAAAAAAATTTAAGTATAATCCTGGAAAAAGAAGTAAGAGAGACAAAGGGAACATGGGAAAAGGAATTAGGGAGAACACATACTGGAGCTTTGAAGACAGGGAGGGAGAACAGAGAGTCTTAAGGATATGATAGTGTTTGGGGGGCAAAGGAAATACTAGAGACATTGAGAAATAGTCTAGAAAGATTCCAAGTGACAGAGACAAGAAGGGGGATAAAGACAGAGCTGGGGATGAAACAAAACCAGAGGGTGAGAGAGAGAAGGGAGAAAAATGGAAAGATGGGTATACCCAAGACCAACACCCAGTAAGAAAGAGAACCAGGAACGGGATGTGGCAGCAAGTGAGGTTCCAGTTGTGTCAAATTATTTCCTATCTCTCTTCTTGGCCCCATTTCTGGATTAGAGTTATAAATAGCACAGTTGGAAAATGTCCTCCCCCCCTTTGCCTTTGTCTCAGCCTGGGGGAAAGGGAGAGGCAGAGGGGCAAGTCCCTGTGCACATCCCTGGGAAGCCCCACCCCGATCCTGCCTGGGCCAGCGCAGGACCCTGTCCCCTCCAATCCCTTCCCCTTTGGAGGGTAGGAAATGTACGGTTCTGGGAAGGATCTGGAAGCCAGAGACATCTTTCCCATCTCTCTCCCTCTTGGGGCCAATCTCTCACATTTTTGGCCTTCTTTGACAGTCCATGCTTTCCCCCCAGCTTAATTTCCTCTTCCTATATCACCCTCAGTCTTTTCCTTGTTTTCTCCCTTCATTCCGTCCTTGTTGATCGAACTCTTACCCTTCTTTCTCAATCTCTTTTCTCTTTCAGTTTTCTTTCTACCTGCCTCCTTTGTTCCCCTCCCCAGGCCTGCTGAGTTTTTCTTTCTTCTCGCCTCTCTTTTCCTCTGCTTCTCTGAACGCTGACGATGTATGTGTCTAGCAGAGCCGTCGCCAAGGCCGGACTCTGAGAGGTGGGATGGGATGGGATGGGAAATGGTTTGATTCAAACAGCAGGAGAGGTGCTCTGTGTGTCCATGAGGAGAAGGTAGCATTAAGGGACCACTCCGGACTCATCTGCATCTTTCTCTCTGCATTTCTCTCTTCCCAGACTGCCCTTGAGCCTCATCCACTTCCCATCTCTTACCCGTCCCGCCCCCCGCCGCTCGTCTTTTTCGGCGCCTTTCTATCCGTATTTCTCACTCCCTCCCCGTTCCCAGACGCCGCCTCCACCGCTCGCGGGCTAGGGCAGGAGTCGGGGGAAAGGGAGAGCGCTGGCGGGGGCGGCGCCCGAGGTGGGGTGGGGCTGGGAGTGTTCCCACCCGGAGCCACCCTCCTGGGCATCCCTCTGCGACTCCGGCGGCCTCCACCTGCAGCGAGGCCGAGGGGCGGGGCGAGGGCGGGGCCGGGGCGGCACCCGTGGGAGAGGAGGCGGGAGCCGGAGTGGACCAGAGGTTGCGGCCGCTGCAGTCGTCCTGGCTGGTGCTGGGGCGGCGGAGCGGCGGGAGAGGGGTGGCGAGGCGGAAGACTGGGAGACCCCCTGAAGGACCAGCGAGACTCGGAGACCACAGACCCGCCTCGGGAGATCTGGGACTCGGGGCGCGAGCGGATTTCCTTGCGCTCTCCCGGAGCGCGCGCGGGGGTCGCCCCATGGCAGGGACTCCGGGCCGCGATCCATGGGGGGCCCCTGGCATTTGTTACCTTCTTGGCTCCCTGCTTGTCGGACTGCTCTTCCCAGGGGCTGTCGCCTTCAATCTGGACGTGATGGGCGCCCTGCGCAAGGAGGGCGAGCCAGGGAGCCTCTTTGGCTTCTCTGTGGCTCTGCATCGGCAGTTGCAGCCCGGACCCCAAAGCTGGTGAGTCACCACACCCGCGCAGAATCCCCGTGCCCGAGCCACAGGTGCCCCCCCGGCCCGCCCCATCTCTCAATCTTCCAACCCCATCAAGACTCAGGCTGTCTACAGATAACCCACACCCCAGCCTGGAGCCTTGCCTGTCTTGGGTCTGAGACCCAGCATCTTGCTTTGGGGATAAGTTGGAGAACAAGGTCCTTGTCTTGGCTGCGAGCTGTCTCCTTTCACCTTTCACCCCAACTTGCATTCTTGCTCCAGTCCCAGGGCTTGTGGCTCCCCTCCTTCCGGGGGCCGAACTCCCTCAGGGAGGGAGATTGAGCATTTGGCCTCTGGTTAGGTCAGGAGGAGAGGGAAAGGACAGAGATGCTGAAGGTGCCGTGAAGGGATGGAGGGTAGACTCCAGAAATAACTTCCTGCCAGGCCATTGCCATGGGATGGAAAGAGAGCATCAGGACACTGGGCTGCCGCTTCTGTGGCTCAGGACCACAGGAAGGCTGGGAGAGGACCTGGGAGGGTCTGGCAGTCTGAACTATGTGGTTTGGTGATAAGAGGGTGGCAGACAACAGAGCCTCCAAAGTTGTAGCAGCAGCAGCAGCAGTGAGAGAGATCCAGGAAGGATGCTGGCCAGGCTGTTCCCCTTCCTCCTCCTCAGGAAATTTCCAGCTCCAGGAATCTCACAGTGGGGAGAGGCAGGGAGAGTGAGGGGCAGAGGACAATTCTGGTTATTTTCTAATCAGTTCGGGACCCGTAGGAGAAAGACACACTTATGGGGCCTGTGACTGTCATGCTTCCTGTACTATTGGCCCCAGCTCCTTATACGATTTTAAAAAGACAGGCAGGAAGGGGAAGAAAGCGGCCCACCCCTTCCTGCCTGGGGACTTTTCTCTCCTAGGCCAGTGCCTAAGCCACACTAAGTGTCCATTACTGGGATCAGTGCTGTCCACTGGGACTATCTTCTCCCCACTGCTATTAGCCTGGGGGCAGAGTGTAGGGACAAGAGCTCATTTCTCTCCCCTGCTCAGGGAGGAGGGGCTCGCTCTGATTCTTCTTCCATTATCCCTGTCATCAGGGAGCAGGGTCAAGCAGTCCCCCAAACTTTGGGAGCAATGGAAAGCTACCGACTTCATCTCTTCTTCAGCCTTCTATCTGCTTCCTCCCTCATCTCTGTCTCCCTCCCTCCCCCCTCCCCCCATGTGCTAGAGTTCTAGGACTGGAGGCCTTTTTAGGACATGCTGAGCTCTCTGAGCTATTTCCAGGCAAATTCTAGGTTATTTTTAATAGCTTGGTCTCTTGTCATTTCCCCCTCGTCTCTGATGGTGGCCCCTGAGCCAAACTGGGGGCCTTCTCAGAGGGGCCTGACCGCCTCACCCTGCTCTTGTCCCAGCAGGGGGCGCTCTGCTGTCTGGTGGCCTGTGAGAGGCCAGATACCTCGCTACGTCCCTGGCTTTGGGGTTGCAGGTCACCTTCCCCAGCACTCGCTGATCGAAAGACATCACCAAGTTTGATGTCCTTCAATCTGGCCCCGGATGAGACTTTGAAGTGTAACCTTCTTTGCTCTGTGGTTTCAGCCTCATTTATTTCCATCAACCGTAATACCGTCAAGTGTACTACCATATAGAGTTGTTGTGAGCATTGAAAGAGTTGTTAACACATGTAAGACGCTGAGAATAGTGCGAGGCCCACAGTGGGTGCTATGAAAGTGTTGGTACCTTTTTCTTGTATGGTGATCCACAGAGCTGGAGCGTAGCTTTAGTGCCTTCCAGCGAGCCTGGATCCAAAGGCTTGGCTGGAGCACCCCCCGGGCTGAGCCAACCTTTCAGGCCAAGCACCCTCCCCAGAGGGCCACCCAGATTGAGAGAGTCAGAGTGGGCTGGACTTGGGTTGGGGCCTGGAGCGAACGGGGAATTGCGAAGTGCAGAGGTACTGGGCTACTCCTTCACCTCCACTTAGCCAGGCTCCCAAGGAGTCCTTGGCTCCTAGCTGCCTTTCTCTCTGCAGTGGCTGTATCTGTGGATACTGTTCTGTCCAGAGGCCTGGGGTGGCTGGGGACCATGGGATGAAGCCAGGAGGGAGTGTGTGGCTGGGGCAGAGGTGGAGGGACTGGAGAGGCTGTGTGTGGGAACTCTTGTTCCAGGTGGGATGGTCTGGTCATAGCTATGCACTCAGCTTCTTTCCTCCATATGGACCCCTCCCCTCCTTTCTACTCCCTACTCATGACCTCCAGGGGAGATGTGAGCATTAAACACGACCGTTAGCTTCTCCTGGTGCTTAGTTCTGCGCTGACCAGCTGAGACACTGCGTGTCTCTGTGAGCCTACATAATGTGTGGGTCCAGGTGTCCTTCATATGGACACCTCCTAGGGGGCAAATGCAAAGATGAATGAGGCAGCCCCAGTCCTCCAAGGGCTCCCCATCTCTGTGTTTGGAGGTGGGAGCACCATGGACGTGTCTGAAGGTTGGCCATGCCACCTAGCTTCTTTTTCTGCTTGGGTACCCTCCTCTCCTCATCCCTGTCTTCCTTTTCGGAAGGTGGCCAGTCATTGGGTGGAAAAGGCATGGATATTGGAATTAGGCATGTGTGGGTTTGAATTCCAGCATCCAACTAATGTCTCTGAGTGAGTTTCCTCATCTGAAAGAGAAGCAAAGAATCCTCACATAGGATTGTTGTGCAGGTTAAATGAGATAATGCAGGTAACATGCCTAGCCTGGTGCCCGGCACCCAGTAGAGAGTCATAAACGTTAGCTCCTCATATCCCTGGCATCTAGCCTAGGGCCTGACCTATAGTAGGTGCTGAATAAATATTACTTCCTTGTATCACCAGTGCCTGACACAGGGCTTGGCAGATGGTAGGTTCTCAATAAATAGTTGTTAACGAATGCCCAGTGTATGCTCTCTTCCCTGACACTTCCCATCCCCCTCTCTCGTGACATTGGCTCTGACACGGGGTGACAGCTGCTAAGAGACGAGGAGGAGCTGTGGGAAGGGAGAATGGCTCTGTGCCCCATCAGAACTGGCACAGTGCCCCACAGATGCCTGTCTGCAGTATTGCCCCACACAGTTTTGGGCCTTGCGCCCCAGCGAGGGCGATGGAGGAAAAGAGCTGGGGAGAGAGGCCTCGAGGTTTGTCTTGCTGACGCTTTTGAGTCTTCTTCTGCGAAGAGAAGATCCTTGTAGCCAGCTGGGTGCCAATCACCTCACGTCTCTCTCTCCTTCACTCCTGGCCTGGGGGTCCTCCCCAGGGGACCCAGGCAACCTCCATTGCCAGCACAGTCCTCCCCTGGGGAAGAAGCCTTGGCTGTGATCATGGAAAATTGTCCTGCCAAGAAAGTTGTAGCTGGGAAAGCGTCTGAGGGGGAGGTAGGAGAGCAGGCTGGGCCGGGGTGGGGCGGGGGGAGGAATGGGGAAAATCATGGACAGGGGGAGCAGAAGGAAGGATGGGGTAGGGCATTCAGGACGTATGGGGAGAACGGGGCTAGGATTGGAGACAGAAAGAGAAACTTGCCCCTACCTCCATGCCAGCCGGCGTGACTGATAGAATCCTGGGCTGGCACGGTTGCTGGGCGGTGGGTCTTTGACAGATCCCCGAGGAGAGGGTGAGGGAGGCGGACCCATATCTCGTCTCTTGCTTGGCCCCCCAAGGCTGGTCCCTGGTCCACCTCATGGTGCTGTTACTTTTGCTCCCAGCATTTTTGGCATTTCTTGGAAGGTTTCAACTGAACTGTGGTTGGGGAGGAGGGCAGAGCTTGGGGATGGGGCCAGGGAGTGGGGGTAGGAAGGGCTGGTCAGGAACAGGTGCTGGGAACAGGCGGTTCTTTCAAACCAGCAGTGCTGGCCAGGCTGCTTGGGTGGCGTGTGTGTGTGTGTGTGTGTGTGTGTGTGTGTATCTACTATGTATGTGGTTCTTCATCCAGATGGTATGTGCATGCGTAATGTGATGATTGCACGGCCAAGTGTGTTAATTTGCCCGTATCAGGACATGGGAAAACCGGCTTTTGGCCCTTTGCCTTAGTCCTTCAACACTCTGCCTGGTACCGAGGAGTTGGGCCTGGGCAGCTCTGGGGAGGTGGCCACCAACTCCTGCCGCTGCCCCACCGTGCAGGCTGCTGGTGGGCGCTCCCCAGGCCCTGGCCCTGCCTGGGCAGCAGGCGAATCGTACTGGAGGCCTCTTCGCTTGCCCCCTGAGCCTGGAAGAGACTGACTGCTACAGAGTGGACATCGACCGGGGAGGTGAGGGCCCTGTGGGGGTGGGGTGGGGGGCACAGGAGGAGGGGAGGGGAGGACTTGGCTTCCTCTTTCCTCCCCTAATTCCCAGTGTCCCGCCTCCAGCTGACGTGCAGAAGGAGAGTAAGGAGAACCAGTGGTTGGGAGTCAGTGTTCGGAGCCAGGGACCTGGGGGCAAGATTGTTGTGAGTACCATATCTTTTTTTTGTTGACTTTTAATGTTTACTATTTTTATTGAAAAAGGTCATGAAAATTAATTTTTAAAAAGAAGGAAAAACAGTTTGACTCTGTAACGGTAATATAATTGCAGTGGGTACCACTTCTTGTGACTTATGCAAGGGTGGTGTGTGTGTGTGTGTGTGTGTGTGTGTGTGTGTATGGTGTGTGCATATGCACAGATGTGCTTACAGAACTCAGGTTGGCAATATGGTATGATGGTCCGCTTCTGAGGACCTCAGAGAGATACAAAAAGGTGTAAGACATGGTCCCTGTCCTTATAAATTTAAAAATATCTAACCGTTCTTCCATCCACTGATTTGTCAAACTTACTGAGAACCTTTTATACATCAGGCATTGTGCTAGTTACTGAGAGAGGACGTGTAAACTCAGGGAAAAGCCTGGTTCTCAGCTAGCCTCCTGCATAGTTCCAGAGATTCTCATTCTCTCTCTCTGTGTTATCACTAACGTGCACAAACAATAAGTCCCTATGGGGCAGAATATGGTTAATGCTAAGTGAGTGGTATGGTCCCCAGTCTATACAAGTTCAAGGGAGGAGTGGAGAGCAAAGACTCCTGCAGGTGGGGTGATTTGAGCCAGGATTTCCAGAATAAGCAACACTTGGAGAGTGGAGAAGGGAGGGAGTTCTTTGCAGACAAGGTGGCGGTGCTTAGAAAGGTTCAGAGGCAGTACCAAGCTGGGCATGTTGGGGGTAGTCCCATCTGGCGGGATCGAGGAGACACGAGTTCTGGGTGCTGGCTTAGTTGTGCTGTGGGTGCCCGGGCAGAATGTACAACAGCGTTTCTTCCTGCCAGGGTGAAGAAGTGGGTGCAGAGAAGATAGGGCAGGGGATTATATATATACTTGCCTTACACTGGGCTGGGGGGCGGTGCCCGAGTGATGCTGGCAGATGTGTCTGTGTGTGTGCGCGCGCCTGTACGCACCTGCGTGCGTGCACCCGTGTGCAAGTGAACCAGTGTCTGCCAAACGTCTGCACACAGGCAGTGTGGCTCGAGCAGGGTCCTGGCCCTCACAGTGGAATGACCCCCTCTCCTTTTCTCCCACAGACCTGTGCACACCGATACGAGGCGCGGCAGCGTGTGGACCAGACACTGGAGACGAGGGACGTGATTGGTCGCTGCTTTGTGCTAAGCCAGGATCTGGCCCTCCGCGATGAGCTGGATGGCGGGGAGTGGAAGTTCTGTGAGGGACGCCCCCAGGGCCACGAGCAATTTGGGTTCTGCCAGCAGGGCACGGCTGCTGCCTTCTCCCCCGACAGCCACTACCTCCTCTTTGGGGCCCCAGGAACCTATAACTGGAAGGGTGAGTGACTCCCTGGGGAGGGGAGAAGGGAACCAAAATGTCCAGTACCTCAGAGAGGGGGTTGGGGGCAGCATGTGGCCAAGCACGCCCACATGTTCACTGCCGTGGAGCCCTGGGGCCCTGCCACGCTTCTCACCACAGCCATGCCAGCACGCACACGAACGGGGCCATCGCCTCTCCTCCGCATGGCTGAGAGTTCCGCAGCGTGCTGGCATGAGCTCCCACATGCCCAGCCGGGGCCCGCATGCTCCAACACACCAGCCCACACCTCATCACTCCCATTCCCATCTCCGCACGCTGCCGCTGGCCGGGCTGACACTCGGTGAGTGTGATGCCAAGTCTGGGGGACCCCAGGCAGCTTGGGCCGGGAGGGGGTGGAGATAGGGCTGGAAAGGAGAGAAGGGGCTTCCCTGGGTGCCTGTCTAACTAGCGCCCGGCCTGCGGGTGCTCCGTGCTCCCTGCCCTGGGCACTAACAGGTCTGTCCTTGCAGGCACGGCCAGGGTGGAGCTCTGTGTGCAGGGCTCAGCGGACCTGGCACATCTGGACGACGGGCCCTACGAGGCGGGGGGTGAGAAGGAGCAGGACCCCCGCCTCATCCCCGTCCCTGCCAACAGCTACTTTGGTAGGGACCCCTCCCCGGCCCGGAGCCGCTCTAACCCTCTGCTTCTCTCTCTTGTCCTCTCTCTCCATGCTCCCATCCTTCCGTCTCTGTCTCTGTCCCTCACTCTGTCTCTGTCTCTGATTCTTATCTCTCTGGTCTGTTTGTCTCTCTCGTATTCTTTCTCCACTTCTTCCTCTTTCTGTCTGCCTCTGTCTCCCCACTCTGTGGCCCCTCCTCTGGATGTCCCTCCCCTGGTGTCTCCCCTGCCCCACCCCCCGCAGGGTTGCTCTTTGTGACCAACATTGATAGCTCAGACCCTGACCAGCTGGTGTATAAAACTTTGGACCCTGCTGACCGGCTCCCAGGACCAGCCGGAGACTTGGCCCTGAATAGCTACTTAGGTTTGTAAACGCCCCTCCACGTCCTCCTGGGCCCTGGGGGCTTGGCCTGGCCTCCCCACCTCTCCTGCCCTGCCCCCCAACACGTACCCAGAGAAACACCCACTGGGCCCAGGTTACAGACAAGAGCTGAGCACAGTAACCAGGCCCAAGGAGAAGAGGCCCCAGGGGTGAAGCCTCGGGGCTGTGAACGGGGGTCTCCATGGAGGAAGATCCAGATGGGCTGAGGCTGTACTAGGAAGGAAGGAGGCTAGGCCTCTGGGGGACTTTCTCTGAGGGATGGATGGTGGGCATGTGCGGAGAAAGGTCCAGCTGTGTTGGTAAGTCCCTCTCCTTTCTCATCCGGGTCCTTCTGCAGAAGAGGAGGAAACGAGGCCTGGGAGAAGCTTGTGTGAATCAAACTCTTCCCCATCTCCCCCCGTTTCTTCCTCTCCCGTCCGTGTGAAGTCTTCCTCTTCCTGCCAGGATGGTGGGCATAGGGGGCAAAGAAGGTGCATTGGATGGGATGGGGGTCTCCTGGGTGTGCAGAGAGGAGAGCAGTTCCAGGGAATCATATGGGGGCGCCCTGGCCCAGCTCCTGCCAGTGCCTCAGCCCCCAGCCCAGCGGCCTGGCCTTCTCAGCCATTGCCTTTCTCCTTCCTCCCCAGTCCCTGAGGCCGACCTCATCGCGCTTCTCGTGCCAGACCTTAGCCTCTGGGTGGGGAGGGCTTCCGGGCCTCTGGAGGGGAAGAGGAGTGGTCCAGCTGTGGTGGTGATGCCTCAGGGGGCACCTCTCCCTTTTAGGGAGGGGCAGGGTGGGAGGAGCTGTGACCTACCCTGGCTGGGAGTCTGGTGGGGAGAGCTCACTGGTGAGTCGCCCCCATCCAGGTTTCTCCATCGACTCGGGGAAGAGTCTGGTGCGAGCAGAGGAGCTGAGCTTTGTGGCAGGGGCCCCCCGTGCCAACCACAAGGGTGCTGTGGTCATTCTGCGCAAAGACAGCGCCAGTCGCCTGGTGCCTGAAGTTATGCTGTCCGGGGAGCGCCTGACCTCTGGCTTTGGCTACTCGCTGGCGGTGGCTGACCTTAACAATGACGGGTGAGGGTGGGCTGAGGCGGGGGGGGCCTGGGGGCGGCTGGGTCTAGGAGGGGTGAGGGGCCTCTGGCCTCTCCTCCTGACTCCACTGGCTGTCTCTCTCTCTCCATAGCTGGACAGATCTGGTAGTGGGTGCCCCCTACTTCTTTGAGCGCCAGGAAGAACTGGGGGGTGCCGTGTATGTGTACATGAACCAGGGGGGTCACTGGGCTGGGGTCTCCCCTCTCCGGCTCTGCGGCTCTCCTGACTCCATGTTTGGGATCAGTCTGGCTGTCCTGGGGGACCTCAACCAAGATGGCTTCCCAGGTGTGACTGGGGACAGGGAAGGCTGGGGAAGGGGGGGAGGGAAGGGGGAGGGGCAGGGGTGCAGAAGTGCCTCTGAGGTCAAGGGGAAGGTCTTCTGAGGGCTCAGGGAGAGGAGCAACCTGGGCTCCTGCCTGAGCTTTACCATTTACCAGCTTTGTGACCTTGGGCACGTACCCTTTCTGAGCTAGTGATGCCTGCAGAGAGTAGCTGAAAGGATTAAAAATGACATGTGTAAGGTGCCCAGGACTTAGTAGCCTCTCAATAAAATAGAAAACACAGGGTATGGAACTGAGTGACTGAGGGAAAGTAGGGGCCTGGACCTCAGGCCTCTCACCCTCAGCCCCCAGGTCTGATTGCCTTCCTCCCACTCCTGCAGACCTTGCTGTAGGGGCTCCCTTCGACGGGGATGGGAAAGTCTTTATCTACCACGGGAGCAGCCTGGGGCTTGTTGTCAAACCTTCCCAGGTGAGGGGAGTGGTGGGGATGAGGGAATGGGTGTCTGGGGGACCCAGGGGGCACAGCAGCAGAGGGCGGGGGAGGCAGAGGCTGGGGTGTGATGGGTGGGGAGGCTGATGGTCTGGTCCCCCAGGTGCTGGAGGGCGAGGCTGTGGGCATAAGGAGCTTTGGCTACTCTCTGTCGGGCGGCCTGGATGTGGATGGGAACCGCTACCCGGACCTGCTGGTGGGCTCCCTGGCCGACGCTGCCGTGCTCTTCAGGTGAGCCGTCCTCCTCTGCTGGCCTCCCCCTCCCCAAGGCCCAGCCGCTTTGCAGTGCCAGATCTGCCGCCTCCCCTCTTTCCCAGCCTCATGTTCTCATGTCTCCTGTGCCCTGGACTCCCCCTTCCCCAGGGCCAGGCCTGTCCTCCACGTCTCCCACGAGGTCTCTATTCTTCCAAGAAGCATTGACCTAGAACAGCCCAACTGCGCCAGTGGCCACTCGGTCTGGTGAGGCGGGGTCCGAGGGGAGGGTGGAGGGGAGCTTCCAGGGTCCAGTTCTCCCCTGTCTACCCAGTTTGGGGCTGGGGCTGGGGCAGGAATGGGCAGGGTTGGGGTGTGGCTTGGGCCTGTCAGCCTTGTCTTCGTCCCCGCAGCATGGACCTCAGGGTCTGTTTCAGCTACATTGCATCGCCCAGCAGCTACAGCCCCGCTGTGGGTGAGTGAGGCCCCTCCACGCTCACCCCGTTGGGTGTCAGGGTGGGTCACTCCGGGGTGCAGAGAAGGGCCCATTGGAGCTGCTCTGCAGCTCACCCGCCCCTCCTCTCCCACCTGCCACAGCCCTGGAGTACACGTTAGATGGGGACACGGACCGGAGGCTCCGGGGACAGGTGCCCCGTGTAACCTTCCTGAGCCGTGGCCCGGATGACCCCAAGCACCAGGCCTCGGGCACCGTGTGGCTGAAACACCAGCATGACCGAGTCTGTGGAGACACTATGCTTCAGCTCCAGGTGGATGCTGACCCCTTGGCCTCTGAGGGCCATTGTCATCGCATCGTCTCTTTTCCCGGCTTCCTCTCATCTTCTTCCCAAACACACTCACACGTCAGTCTAAGATCTCGACTTTTGGGAAGGCTCCCTTTCGGGCCTCTCTTTTACCTGCCGTTTTCTTGCATCTCCTGTCAAGTTCTATACGCCCTGGAGATGGCCACGGCAGGTTCCATCTTCTCGTCTGGTCCCCGAAGCTCTAAATCCTGGCTGTCCTCCCTTCTCCACCCCAGTTGCTCTCCCCCTGCTAGCCCAGTTCTCCACCTCTCTCCTTTGTCTCCCTGAGCCTCTTTCCAGGATCTGTCCTAGGTCTGGCTGGGGCTTTGGGCAGGGCTGGGGTCTGGGGGTTGCTCTTGTATTCACGTCTATCTTTTCCCTTCCCCAGGAGAATGTCAAAGACAAGCTTCGGGCCATCGTGGTGACTCTGTCCTATAGTCTCCAGACCCCTCGGCTCCGGCGACAGGCTCCTGCCCAGGGGCTGCCCCCCGTGGCCCCCATCCTCAATGCCCACCAGCCCAGCACCCAGCGGACAGAGGTGAGCATGCGTTCTGGTTTAGCCCAGGAAAAGAAGCTGGGAGGGACAGGGATCGTGAATCCCTCGCCAGTGACATTCATAGCTTGCAAAATTCTTTCATGCTACCCCAGTTGTTCCTCATATCTCTAGATGCTGTAACAGGCGGGCCACAGATGTAAAATGGCCCATATTATCATGCGTTCCTAGTCAGAGGGAACAGGCAGTCATTCAGGGGCCCAGGGTGCTGGGGGTCTGCCGTGTTCAAATGTGGCCTCCAAGGTCCTTAGGTCACCTCTATCCCATCAGTTGGAGGGGGGCGGGGACTTCCTTGTATGGGTCTTATGGCCAGTCCGGAAGTGATGCTCTTTACTTCTCTTCACGTTCTAAGTCTGGGACTTAGTTACATGCAAGAAAGGCCAAGGAAATGCAGCCTCGCTGTGGACTAGCCTGCTGCTCTCTACCACGGCATCGTAATACTCCCATCATTTTACTGATGAGGACACAGCTCAGAGCGGTTAGGTGACCAGCTGGGTGTCACACAGCTAGGAAGCAGCAGATCTGCGGGTTGAACTCAGGTTGTTTATTCCCGTGATCCTCTACCCCGCCATACGCCTTGGCGATACATGCACCCCCTGGGAATGACCCCCTCTTCAAATCTCTCCCCAGATCCACTTTCTGAAGCAAGGCTGTGGTGAAGACAAGGTGTGTCAGAGCAACCTGCAGCTGGTCCACGCCCGGTTCTGCACCCGTGTCAGCGACACGGAGTTTCAGCCTCTGCCCATGTGAGGGGGAGCGAGGGAGCAGGTGGGGTGGGAAGGCAAGAGATCAAGGGACGGAAGGAAGTCCCCTTGGGAGGGCCAGCGGGAGCGGGGGCTGAGCCTGCAGGGAGAGGGTGGAAGGTGGAAGGTGGGGAGAACCTGCCGAGAGCTGAGAAGTTTGCAGGATGAGGGCAGTGAGGGGCCCACAGGGGCTCCTCTGGCAGGGAGTGACAAGCCTTCACCATATAAAAAAAATTACACAGTTCACACACATCTCACTGTTAAGTCTTCACAACCCCATGAAGCGGAAAATATTACTAGTCCCACTTTAGAGATGGAGAACGGAGGCCTAGAGAGGTTAAGTTACTTGCCCAAGGTCAGTAAGTGCTGGAGCTGGGGCCAGAAACAAAGGTCCCCTGACTCCCAGTCTTGACTCTCTTGAGTCTGATGCTTGGACCAGTGTGTGCGGAGATTCGGGAGAGCCAGGGTGGGAGGAGAGGTTCGGGGAGTGGGGGCAGGCAGCATGCACTGGCGGGGGAAGGAGGAAGGGAGAGGCGGGGGCAGGTGTTCCGGTCTTAGAGTGAGTGGGATCTGACCCCCCCAGGGATGCGGATGGGACGACAGCCCTGTTTGCACTGAGTGGGCAGCCAGTCATCGGCCTGGAGCTGAGGGTCACCAATCTGCCTTCGGACCCAGCCCAGCCCCAGGCTGATGGGGATGACGCCCATGAAGCCCAGCTCCTGGTCACCCTCCCTGCCTCTCTGCACTATTCAGGAGTCCGGGCCCTGGACCCTGCGGTGAGGGCCCGGGGCAGGGCAGGGGTGGGGTCTTGGGGGCTCCAGTAACCCAAGCTGATCTCTCCTTCTCTCCCCACTCCAGGAGAAGCCGCTGTGCCTGTCCAATGAGAACGCCTCCCATGTTGAGTGTGAGCTGGGGAACCCTATGAAGAGAGGTGCCCAGGTCGGCATATCTGCCCTTATCCCTATCCGAGTGGCTCTCTCACCCCTGACCCCTCCTCAAGCCCCTCGCCCTCCCGGACTCTAATCTCGCTCCACCCTTTGCCTAGGTCACCTTCTACCTCATCCTTAGCACCTCAGGGATCACCATTGAGACCACAGAGCTGGAGGTGGAGCTGCTGTTGGCCACGTAAGGCTGGCGGGGCAGGGTGGGTGAGGGTGGGGGCAGTGGCTTGAAGTCCACCTAGAAAGGGCTCTGCTGTCCTCACCTGATCCCTTGGGGCGGGGCCTGTGCCCGCCACCCACGCCTGCCCCTGCCACACTCCAGGATCAGCGAGCAGGAGCTGCAGCCGGTCTCTGCCCGAGCCCGTGTCTTCATCGAGCTGCCGCTGTCCATCACGGGGTAAGCCCTGTCCAGGGGGGCGCCTCCGCCAGAGGGGTGGGCATTGTTACCCCCAGACCCAGGCCTGGGCTCTGCCTCACCTGGCCTGACCCTCCTGACCCTCCATCAGGCCCCAGGCCTCCTCAGCCCCTGTTTTGACCCCTCCTCACCAGGGTGGCCATTCCCCAGCAGCTCTTCTTCTCTGGCGTGGTGCGGGGCGAGAGCGCCATGCAGTCTGAGCGGGATGTGGGCAGCAAGGTCAAGTATGAGGTTACGGTAAGTGGCCTGGTGAGGTCCCTCCCTTCTTGGCACAGAGGAGAAGCTGAGACATGTCCCAAGGGCTGTGGCTTTTCTCCCATCTGGCGCCTGGTTCGAGGCCTCCCCCAGTTCCTGGGCCTTGGCCGTGTGCAGGTGTTTGTGTTGAGGGCTCAGTTGACCATTTCCTGCTCATTCCTGACTGGACATCTCACCTGCTGGTCTGGGGAGGCCAGGAGGGCCCAGGGGCCTCTGCTGGTGGATGGGGACAGTGGGGAGGGCTGATGTCTCTCCCTAGAACCCTGCCCTTGCTTGGCTGGGGCCTCCCCGCATTTCCCGGGGACATCTCCAGGTTTTCCTGGGTTTGGGGTGGGCAGAGAATGGTGCCTGGATCTAGGATCCTGAGTCTTTGTAGAAGCTATGCTTCCTGAGGCTTCCCCGCAGCCCTGTCCCCTCCATCTCTGGGGATTTAGAACCTGTCCTTTGCACTCTCTTGTGCCCACAGGTCTCCAACCAAGGCCAGTCACTCAAGACCCTGGGCTCGGCCTTCCTCAACATCATGTGGCCCCACGAGATTGCCAACGGGAAGTGGCTGCTGTACCCCATGCGGGTGGAGCTGGAGGGCGGGCAGGGGCCGGGGACGAGGGGACTCTGTTCCCCCAGGCCCAACGTCCTCCACCTGGTGAGGCTTAGGCGAGGTGGGTGGGGCTGCAGAAGCAGGGTGGGGCGTGGTCAGACTTTGGGAAGGATGCCATGGGGCTGGGGGTCTGCGGCCGGTCGGGGGCCAGGAGGAGGGTGCTGGGGAGGAGGTGCCACCTGTCCCTCACTGGGCCCCCTCCCCACCTCAGGATGTGGACAGCAGGGACAGGAGGCGGCGGGAGCTGGGGCAGCCGGAGCCACGGGAGCCTCACGAGCAGCCGGAGCCCAGCACGTCCTGGTGGCCAGTGTCCTCTGCTGAGAAGAAGAAAAACGTCACCCTGGTGAGGGCGGGGCACACGTGGCCCAGGCAGGATGGGGTGGGGCACGTGGTAGGACAGAGGATGGCGGGGGGAGGGGAGGGCAGGGAGCTTCAGGGTGCCGGGTGGCCTGTCAATAGCTGTGATGGTCACAGACACCGGGGGCAAGGTGACAGGGCACTTCACATCACACCGGTGAAGCAGCTGCCGCCGCCGCCGCTCCCCCATGCCCACCAGGTGTTCACTCCAGAGCAGGGCACTTACCATAGCCCGTGACCCACGCGGCTGATTCTCCCTGCCTGTGTATGAAAGGTCACATTTTATAGGGGGTCGTTTTAGCCATCTCTGAGATCTGTTTGTTATTCTTTTGAATTCTTTTAGGCCAGAAAGTCAATTTGCATAAGGAAACCTGCTTGATTTTCACAATGTCAAAAAACACTTGAAGGTTTTAAAAGTTCTAATAATTGAATCGATAGTATATTTATGTGATTCATTAAGCCTATCCTTTTCGAGCCCTTTTGCCTCCCCGTTTCCTCCTTGTTTCACGCGGTTTTGTTCCTGGCGGGGCTCACTGAGCGGATTAGCGCAGACTCTGTGTACTCGTCCCTTTTAGGATGGCGCTGGCAGTGAGAGTGGGGGGGGGGCACAGATCGGGGGGGTGCTTGGCCTGGTGGCAGAAGGTGAATCCCAGGTGTGGAAAGGATGGGCAATAGAGGCAAAAAGAGGCAAAGAGACCTTGGCAGGGGGAGGGCAGCAGTTGGGCCAGCTCTGGTGGCATCTGTCTGGGAGGAAGTTCCGCTGCCACAGCCCATCCTTCCTGGGGGCCCTCAGCTTCCCTGCCCCCCTGAGAGCATGGTGGAAAGCAAATGAAGTCACCTCAGGGGTGGTAAGAGCTTGTGTAACTGCTGTTTCCCTGTTACATGGATAGTCCTGCTTTCTCCAGGTGAATGATTTCTTCTGAAAGGCCACCCTTTTTGCTAAGAACTTTGAAATGGATTCTTTTACTTAAAATGACTTTTAGACAAATTGACCAAGGATTCTTGAATTGCTCGAAAGTGGCCATTCTTCTGTATAGGCAGCGTGATGGATAGAACATTAATTTTTAGGCAAATGGGCCATTAGGTGGGATTGGGCCAAATGGATTTAGGTCAGGCGTGGAAGGAGAAGGGCCTAAGTCCCCTGTCCCCCCAGCCGCTCCGGGCATCCTCCTGCTCATTCAGTGAGTTTGGGCTTCACGGAGGAGCGCAGCTTTGCCCACTCTGGACCTGGGTTCAAGTATCCGTTCCACCTCTTTCCAGCTTTGCTAGCTGTGTGACCTGAGGCAGGTCACCTGGCCTCTTTGAACTTTAATTTCCTAGTTTGAAAAATGGGGATGATAATAACATGCACCTTGCAGGACAGTTGTGAATTTAAATGAGATAAGTACCTTGCAGATAGATGCTCAATATATGGGACTGTCATTAGGTAACATGAGCATCTACTGGGGAAGATACTCTTCCTGCTGCTGTCAAGAGACCTCCTCCCTGCTCCCCATGCATTTCAAAGCCAAATAGCCCAGATTTGGGGTAGGCTGCTCTTTTGGACCACAGGGTTAGTTTGGGAAGACTTCTTGGAGGAGGGGAGTTTGAAGCCAGGTAAGGAAAATGGGAGAGATATTGAATGAAGAGCCAGGGGAAAATGGGGGGGGGGGATGGAGGGATGGAGGGAAGGCTCTGGGCAGACAGTGTCTGTGTGACCACGTTTGTGAGGGTGCTGGGGCCAAGCAGCTCAGAGCCCTGCGGGTCCTGGTCCACAGGACTGCACCCGGGGCACGGCCAGCTGCGTGGTGTTCAGCTGCCCTCTCTACAGCTTTGACCGTGCAGCTGTGCTGCATGTCTGGGGCCGCCTCTGGAACAGCACCTTCCTGGAGGTGAGAGTCAGGCTGGGGCGCTGGGCTGGGCATCCTCTTCCCCAACCCCCGCCCTGGGGCTCACTTCTCCTTCTTCCTCCTTCCTGTCCAAATGCAGCACACTCTCAACCCAAGACAGGCAGAAACACCCTCCGTGTTGGGCACCATTCCGTTTACAACTTCAGGAGCTTGGGGGAGGTGGGGGCGTGGGGGCATTTAGGAGGAGGGTCTCCTTCCCTGCTCCCTTAGGAGTACTCAGCTGTGAAGTCCCTGGAAGTGATTGTTCAAGCCAACATCACCGTGAAGTCCTCCATCAAGAACTTGCTGCTCAGAGATGCCTCCACAGTGGTGAGCTGCTGGGCTGGGGGCATGAAGCAGGGGAAGCTCTTCTGTCCCGTTGCTCCAGCCCTTGTTCCCTTAACCCCTTGCTCCCCAGATCCCAGTGATGGTATACCTGGACCCCGTGGCTGTGGTGGCAGAAGGAGTCCCCTGGTGGGCCATCCTTCTGGCTGTACTGGCCGGGCTGCTGGTGCTGGCGCTGCTGGTGCTGCTGATGTGGAAGGTGAGGCTTGGGGAGGGTGATGCCGCTGGGAGCAGGGCTCCCCTGTCAGGCAGGTGGCCTTTCATGGTGTGGTTCTCTCACCCAGTCTCCCATTTATTCAGCAAATCTGCATTGAGTACTTACCCTGCGTGTACCAGGGTCTATCAGGCCCTGGATGTTTCAGAGATAAGTCAGATGTAGATCCTGTTCTCAGGGGTTTTATAGTCTAGTTGGGGAGGGGAGTAGTCCAGGACGAGGCAGTGGACTGAGTCAAGAAAGTGCAGTGGGAGCTCAGGTGAGGGAAAGCTTGAGAGCAGGTGGCCCTGGAGCTGCGCCTTAGAAGGTGGGGTGGTAGGATCTGGATGTGGGGAGAGGGATGGGTGGGTGTGGGCCTTTCAGGACTATGAGGGGCCAAGCCATGGAGGCAGGGAAGTGTGGTCTGAATTAACTAGAGCATGGTGGGTAAGGCTGGGAAGGAAACTGTGGCCAAGAAAGCCAAGCAGTGTGGAGAACTGCCTGCAGGGGACTGTTGCCAGGACTGAACTCGGAACCTCCACATACCAGGCTCTACCTGGAGCCATTCTCATACACACAGAGTGTAGCCAGAATCACGTGTGCGTCTGGGGCTGCACATTAAAAGCCCGTTCATGCGCGTGTCAGTACAGAGAATCACGCCCATCACCAGCAGTCATCCCCTGAACCACATGCCACATCTGGGCCATGGGGAGCCATGCATGCCCTTGGGGCCTCCCCAGGACCAAGCACACCCTCTGGCAAATGTGAGTCATCAGTGGACCAGGCCTCTGGGCATCCAGACTGTTGGGGACCTTGCCATTCTTAGGGGGGATTGATGCCTCCGAGAAACTGGCTCCAGAATCTCTGCTTCCTGCTCCCATGCAAGGGGGACAAGGCAGAGGTAGAGGCACCCATCCTTCCTCAGTCTTCCCATCCTCCACCTCTTCTGCTCCCTTCCTCCCTTACGTCCCAGTGTGGCTTCTTCCATCGGGACAGCCAGAGCTCATCTTTCCCCACCAACTTCCACCGGGCCCGTCTGGCCGTGCAGCCCTCAGCTGCGGAAGCTGGGGGTCCAGGGACCGTGGGGTAATTGTTGTGTGTGAGCATGTGTGTGCGCGCGTGTGTGTGCGTGTGTGGGTATGTATGTGAGTGTGGGTCGAGCTCCCAGCATTCAGGCGACCAGGAATGTGCAGGGTGTAGAAAGGAGATTGCATGAGGGTGGTGTGAGTTCCAGGAACTGAGGGGAGGTGGTTGTCAGGGTGAGGCCCTAAGGGTGAGTGTGCACGGCCTGGGGCACGCACAAGGGTTGGGCGGGCTCCTGGGGTTGTGAGCATGTGGGGAGTGCAGGAAGGTGCCGTGCATGTCTTTTCTGTGGGCATGAGTGTGCAGAGACACATGTGCAAGGAGGTGCCATGCAGTCCAGCATGTAGGAGTCCTGGGAAGTCCTGAGTGTGAGTGTGCAAGGGGCACATTTCTGTCTTGGTAGGTAAGGGCCAGCATGTTCATGACTTAGCGAGGGGCCAGGCTACCATATTCATAGAGGAGAGGGCCCGCCCTAAGGGCGATGCTGCCCAGTACACAGGGGTTGTGCATATGAGGCTTGGGAGGAATCATTCTGGAGTTTGCGGGGCTCTAGGAAGCCATGTTTTCCCTCTGCTCCTGTTTGTGTTCTAGGGGATGCTACTGGGTCTCTTAAAAATCTTGGGGGTGTGGAAACCTTTGGGGTCAGCAGTCCTGATGTTCTACCTTCAACCCCCTCTTTCAGGCACCAAGGGAGATGTCCTTGGTCCTGCACCTCAGGCCCCTCCTGGTCTTTCTCTTGCTGTCAGTGAGAACCTGGGGACCCAGCACTGATGGTGGCACCTGTGAGGGCTGCTTCCTGCACGAGCTGCTGCCCAGCCAGCCCCTTTCTGCTGCTGTTGGTTCTTTCTGTCCCAGGGATGGTGGAGGCAGGAGGCTGGGCTGTGCTGGGCATCTGCTCCAGGGACCTCAGCCCCGCAGCCTGCTCACGTCTGGCCTGCTGTTCTTCCAGATGGGATTCTTCAAGCGGGCGCGGTACCCCGAAGCCACTGTGCCCCAGTACCACGCGGTGAAGATCCCACGGGAAGACCGGCAACAGTTCAAGGAAGAGAAGACGGGCACCATCCTGAGGAATAACTGGGGCGGCCCCCGGGGCGGGGGGCCCGATGCACACCCCATCCTGGCTGCGAATGGGCACCCGGAGCCGGGCTCCGATGGGCACCCTGTGCCAGGCACTGCCTAGCCTCCTCCTTCCCAGCCTGGCCCATGGGTCCCCTGCACCCCTTCCCCAGAGATGGCTCCTAGGGATGAAGGGGGCAGGCTGGGTTGCCGGTGTCCCATCAGGATGTGGCAGGATCTGTTTCCTCAGGGGCACAGACCTCTCTCCCCGTGAGGACCACACCCCCCCCCCCAAACCTCCCCTTAGGATGCTGTGAGATGAGAGGGGGTAAATCAGGGATGGGTGAGGAGGGCAGTGGTGTCCTGATGCAAAAGTGGGGAGAAGGGACCCTAATCCTTCCCTCTCCCATTCACCCTGTATGATGAGACCCCGAGGACCTATCTCCCTGAAAGTGCCTTAAGCCCAGAGGGTGGGGAGGAGGTTATGTCGCTGACTCAGGGGCTCTTCCCTCCCTGGCTTCCCCTCTCCTCTGACCTTAGTTTGCTGCATCCATCAGTGGGTTTTGTCTATTTATTAAAAACGATGTGAGGACGAAGCCTCTGGCTTCTTTGCTGAGTGCTGCAGGCTCTCCAGAGAGGACTGGTTCTCTCTGCATCCCCACAGCCCAGGACAAAGGTGGTGGTTGGAGGGAGCCCAGGGCGCCTGGCAGGGATACTGGTGACTTTTGTGACCAGGTCCTGGGGGCATGTGGGTGTGGTCTCAGAAGTGGGGGGGAACACGGGGAAGGGACGGGGAGCTGTCCTAGGGGTAGTGGGCAAAAACTGGGAGACCCAGTCGAGGAATTTGCAGTTAGGGATATGACAGGGTATAACTGTTTCCTCCCCGTAGTCAGGGTGGGAATAGAGCTTTCTCACTGCACAAGGAAGGGTTGAAGTTAGAGAAGGAGAGGGGCTCCCCGCGGAGAGGTGGGAGAAGGAGGGGCTTATTTCACCGCCTTTCCCATGATATGGGGCCCAACAGGTAACCACTTGATGGGAGGGGGTTGTCGTTCCATTTGGAGTTCAGAGAACTGGGCATTCTCCAGATCTTTCCAGGTCTCTCTGGTGAGGCAGCAGCCGTCCCCAATGTGTTTCCAGGTGGGCTCTAAAACCTGCTGCCACAGGAAGGCCCAGCTTCCACGCGGCTCAGCCACGTGCTCCCAGAAAAAAAACATTCCTCCCTGGGAGAGAAGAGAGCGCGTCACTTACCTGCTCCATTCCACAACCTTCCTCTACTCTCACCTCCATCCCGCTGACCAAGCCTGGTCAGAACCTCTTGGTGGAGTGGGAGGTGCTGGCCTGCGAGTTTAGGGAGACCGTCCGGCTCTGTGACCTTCTCTGCATCCCCCGGCTCTTACCCCCCAACTCAAAGTGAGTGTGAAGAGCCTCCTGTGACCTAGGGGCCATGACCGGTGAGAGATTTTTAAACAATGACCCGAAGGCCAGCGTAGCTGAGGGCAGACAGATGGGGAGGCGGGGAACCAGGAGCAGAGATCTCATTGGATACAGAGATGCTCGCGCTGAGCCCTCTCCCGAGACCAAGACGGCTGCATCCCGGACATCTCAGCCAGCATCCCACGGAAGGGTGCACTGGGCTCCTGAGTGAGCTGGGGTTCCTCCAGCTCTTCCCTCCTCACTGTACCCTCCCTAGGTGATCCCATGCACCCAAAACAAAAAAACCAACCAAAAGTTATAAGTAACTCTTAACGTTAATGAATTTAAACCTTCCAGAAAGCATGAATCTAAAAGGAAATGTCCAACAGGTGATACAAGCCAGATATTCTACGGCCTTTCCTGTTTCGGTCTCAAATTCCAACGCGCTTGGAATTTACCAGCTACAAGCTGATGACGTCCAAACCTAAATCTCCAGCTACGTCTTTTTCTGACCTCCAGATCTGGACTTAGAGTGCCTCTGGGTTTCTGCCCGGCTGTCTCCATGGGACCACAGGCCTAACAAGTCCAAAACAGGCTGCTTCTGTCCTGCAAATGGTACTTCTCTCTACCCTCCCTCACTCCCTCCACCATTCGCTCATGCCAGAAACCTGGAAATCATCCTAAACTCCTTTCTGTCCACACCCAGTTCCAAACTTTATGGATTCCACTACCCCAATACCTCTACTTAGAACACTCTTTTGTTTCCGCCACTCCCTCCACCCCCTGCTTAACCCCTCAGATCTCAGTTTAAACACCACATCCCTAGGTGTCCTTCACCCCTCTTTCCCCCTTTGTTAGGTGGATCACCTGTGTGATTCCACAGCCCCCTATCCTGCCCCATCCAGGCCCTGGTCATATCTCCTGTTCACCAGCAGGTGGCGGTGGGTGGGTGTCTAATGCACTAGTGCCTGAGATTCCCCATCCTGGGTGCCCTGGACACCGGGGTGGCTGATGCGACGTTTGTTGCCCCGTGCCCATACACTTCCCATTCTGCTCACCGGCCTCAGTACTCTCCGAACTTCCTGCAGGACCCTCTTTGGGCTCTGCACCGAGCACAGCACCAAGGTGCTGACCACCACGTCCATGGAGCCACTGGCCAGCTGTTTCATGTCCTCTCCGAAAGCCACCACAAACCGTTCATATTCAAGATGCCTATTCTTGGCCATACTCTTTGTCAGGAACTTCTCAAAGTGAGGGTTCGGGTCCAGGCAGGTGATCCTGCAGCCACATGGGTAGAACTGGAAGTTGGCGCCAGTGCCACAGCCCAGCTCCAGCAGGGCCACCTTCCCCGAGGCTCCTGCCAGCCCCTTTATCTGGCTGAAGAGCTCCTGTTTCTTGCTGTCCATCTTGCGGTTGCACTTGACTGTCAGCATGGCCATCAGGTAGGGGAAATAGGTCTTGCACAGGGGCTCCCAGAAACCCAGCAGAGCCATGAGGTGCAGGGTCAGGGTCAGGATTAGCACCAGCAGCTGCAGGAGTCGGACCAGGGTGTCCATGGTAGCCTGGCTCTGAGTGGAGCTTCCCTTGGGTGGCTGGCCTGTCTCTCTGCTCCGCCGCTGCAGACTCGAGTCTCCTTTCGCCCAGCGATAGGACTTTGTTCCCTGTCTCCTACTTGGCCGTTTCCTCTTTGCCGGGGAGGAGTTGATGTATGAAATCTCTCCAGAGGGCGCAGGTCCCAAAATCCCGTAGGCTCTTCAACCAATTTTATTACGTGGGGGCGAAGAAACAGGTGGTGCCAGTGTGTCCTGAGTTCTGGAACGCTGTGCCCAGTTGAAGAGGCTGGTGTGTGCTGATCATCTCAGAGGGACACGGGAAGGGGGAGGGGAGCTACGTCTCAGATCACAGCTTCACGGGGGCCAAATGCCCCGGCAGAGCAGACTCCTGCGGCACGTCCTGGCCTCATTCCGGGCTCAGGTTCTGCTCAGTTTATGCAAGTTGGAAATTCTGGTTGGGTGCCCCTGGAACACCCCCAGGGCTTTGTAAACTGTAACATGCCTCTGCCCCAGATAGAAGCCAAACACAGAGAAGGATGTGTCAACCCCAGGGGGGCGGTCACAAAACTTCTCTGCTGGGCAGCTGCACAGGGGCTGCCCTGGCTCCAGCAGCACCGTGTGGGAGACACTTTCCTGAAATAGCTCATCCCTGCCTGACTCAGGAATTGTCCCAGACCTTATCCCTCAGCCCCGCGCTGGCCGGGGCACAGTGGGTTTGACCGGCAGGACAGAGGCAGTGGACTTGGACAGAGCACCCGCCCCAACCAGGGACTTTGTTTAAAGTCGTCCTCCGCCAGAGGCCACCAATGACCCTGGGAAATGCTCCTCGTGAGACTTGAGGCTATTGGACTTTCCCTCTTGCAGAGTGCCCATGCGTAGTGGCTGAAGGAAGTTTTGTTTAGAGAAAAGAAAATCAACATTCATTTTATTGTTGAGTGGTATTCCATTTTATGGAGTTACCATAAATTATTTATCCATCCAGCTGTTGACGGATATTTGGATTGTGTCCAGTTTTTGTCTATTACAAATAGAACTGCTATGAACGTTTATGTCCATGTCTTTGTGTGGATATATGCTTATATTTCCTGTGTGTAAATACCTGCATGTGGAATGGCTATTCATTTATTTAAAATGTGTAATTATTCTTTTGTTTTGGTGGTATCATTTAATTTTTTTTTCTTCTTTTTTTTTGGTTGTAGTAAAATGCACATAACAAAACTTACCATCTTCACTATTTTAATTGTACAATTCAGTGGTATTAAATATATTAACACTGTTGTGGACCCATCACCGCCATCCACCCCCATAATTCTTTTTTTTTTTTTTTTTGCGGTACGCGGGCCTCTCACTGCTGTGGCCTCTCCCATTGTGGAGCACAGGCTCCGGTCGCGCAGGCTCAGCGGCCATGGCTCACGGGCCCAGCCGCTCCGCGGCATGTGGGATCTTCCCGGACCGGGGCACGAACCCGTGTCCCCTGCATCGGCAGGCGGACTCTCAACCACTGCGCCACCAGGGAAGCCCGACATGACAATATTAAAGAAGTAACACTCTGTAAACAATGATATGCTATATAAAAAGCACTGAACTGTGAGTCAGAAATTCTGCACTTAGTTCCCATTCTACCATTTGCAAGCTAAGTAGCCTGTCATTTATCTGAGCCTTAGTTTCTTCCTTTGTTCCAAGGGAAAAATATGTTGTCCCTACCTCTCAGATGAGGCTCAAATGAAATAATGCAAGTGAGAGTGCTTTGTAAACCACTTGTATCATTCAGAGCTAAGATATCACTGTATGGTTATTATTATTTTGCCTAGTAAACATCAAGATGTGGAAGGTCAGAGTAAAGCTTCAATCAAAGCCAGATAGCTGCTTTTACTGAGCTCTCTTTTTTTCTTCTCTCAGGGAAGAGTGTTGTGGATGGGAACTTGAAGTTTGCACCTGACCTAGGAGGCGGTGTGTGACCTAGCAGAGCTAATGCAGGCTTGGGAAGAAGTCATGTGTTCCCTAGCATAGGTTGTCATTTTGTAAGGAATAGAATCCAAATCTTAACATGAGGGGCTATATATATATATATATATATATTTTTTTTTTTTTTGTGGTACGCGGGCCTCTCACTGTTGCGGCCTCTCCCGTTGCGGAGCACAGGCTCCGGACGCGCAGGCTCAGTGGCCATGGCTCACAGGCCTACCTGGACCGGGGCACGAACCCGTGTCCCCTGTATCGGCAGGCGGACTCTCAACCACTGCGCCACCAGGGAAGCCCGCAATATATTCTTAATGTGAAACCAGATTTTACTGGCTAGAGAAAAATTAATCCTTGCTATAGTGAGGTGTGCTTGCTTTTTAGATAACTTGTGAGGAAACTGGCTACCGCACGCAAACCTACTCCATTCATGCTATCAGAGCGCTCCTCCCCACTTTGGATCTGGTAAAATCTGGACAGAGGAGAGCTTCTATCGACATTTGGCTAAAATCTGAAGCTTGAACATGGTTTGAGAAAGAGGAAGAAGAAACCTTTTTCTTCTTAAGTCCTGGGTCTTTAAGGACTCCTTTGCTGTGTGATACAGGGATTAGTTAAATAAAGCTGCCGTCTAGTCCTTTTATTCTGGACTGCTCTGTCCAGAGTTCCCT